TGACTGGCATGTAGGACAGTAAACTGAACAGGGGAAGAGCCACCCTGGAGGTGTGGGTGGCACCATCCAATAGGCTTGCACACTGGATGGAACAAAAGGGAAAAAGGAGGAAGTCTGTTTGTATTTCTAAGTTCAATTCAACTTGAGTGGATGTGTCTCTTTCTTCTGCAATTGCCTGTGAACATCAGACTCCAATTCCCTCAACTTTCCAGTGCAGAATCACACCACAGACTCTCCAGGGAGGTTCTAGTGCTTCTGTCTCAAACTAGTGTGGCATCCTTGATTCCTCTTGTTCTGAGTCTTCCAGCTACTGGATCCTCTGGTACTCCAGAGTGCAGATGGCTCTTGCAGAGTATCTCCTCTCTGATCCTGTAATCTTATCCTCTAAATCCCCTTTCATAATTATATATGGTACATACTTGTATAACATATATAATACACACACACACACACACACACACACACGCACACATATATATTCTATTCTCCTAGAAAACCCTAGGGAATGCTGATGGAAAGCTAATATATCTACCTTAATCTCTCTGCTTCTGCCTCCACTCTCTTAGTAGAGGTCACTATCTGCCTTTTATCTGGGTTAGTGTAACAGGTTATCAAGTCACTGACTTCATACTTGCCCCTCTACCACCCTATCTTTCTTCATTCACCAAATCCAGTATATTTGGTCATTCATCATTTTCCTCTACATTCTCATGTCAGTGGAATAAGAACATGATAGAATGATTGATCAAACTAATTCATAAAAATTTCTTGGGCTGCCCTACCCTATTCTTGCCACTTACTGTATGTCACAGCCAGAGTCATGTTCCTAAAGTGTGAAGATTAATGCAACACTTCCTGGCTTAAAAAGTCTTCAGCAACACTGCACTGTGTTAAAGACAAATTCAACATAATGAGGCCCTTCATGATCTTGCCTTCTGTTATGTGTTGAACTGTGTCCCCTCAAAATGCATACATGGAAGCCCTGATCCCCAGAATCTCACAATGTGAGATTATCTGGAGATAGGCTTTATAGGATTAATAAAATCAAAATGCAGTCTTTAGGTGATCCCTACTCCAGTACAATTGGTGTCCTTACAAATGGGGGATTTGGGCACAGACACAGACATGCACAGAGAGAAAATGATGTGAAGATAGAGGGAGGTTATATTCAAGTGCAGCCACTTACAAGAAAGGCCTGGGATAGACTCTTCCCTCACCACCCTCAGTGGGATAAACTCTGTGACACATAGTTTTCAAACTTCCAGACTCTAGACCCAGGAGATAATAAATTTCTGTTGCTTAAGTCACCATTTTTATGTTACTTTATAACTAGGGCACTTGCAAACTAACACAGCTTTCATTTTTTTCTATTTTCCCTGCTACATCTCTACCCCAACATTCCTGCCCCTTGTTCTATTCCAATACCCTGAAATTCTGACATTCCCTGAACAGGGCCCGATCCTCATCACTTTCTCTGCCAAGGTGATCCCTCACCTAGACCATTCTTTTCTTTGGCAGTTTGTAAACCAAACTCTTCTGTCATTAATATCTTGGCTCCATGGTCTTTTTCTCTGAAAGTTCTTCCTGACTATCCTTCTGCCAAGACTATTAAATGGCCTTCTGCTACCATGCAGCATGTGTTTGTCAGATGATGTCACATTGTGTCTGTCCTTATTAGATGGCAAAATTTTTGAAACCATGGATTATGTAGCAGAAATTTGTTTCTGCCTTTTTAGGAGCCACTTCCTCCCCCAGTAACAGCACTCTTATTTTTCCTTATGAAAAGTTACCTTCTTTTCTGGTAGCACATGAAATTCATCCATCATACTACTTAGCTCAGGGCCTTGTGGAGGATTGAGGCACAGTAAGTGAGTTTGTACATCCCCTTCATCACCTCAGAGATGGGTTCAGTGCTAGTCATGACCTGTGCAGACCCCTGAAAGCCCGTGTGCATTTTCTTTTTTTTTTTGTTTGGTTTTTCTCCGGTACCAGGAACCGAACTCATGACCTTGCGCTTGCCAGGCAGGCGCTTTGCCGGTGAGCTAAATCCCCAGCACCCCCCCCCCCCCCGTGTGCATTTTCTGCTGAGATTTTTAGGGATGAGGACCTATTTGTGCTGCACTTAGGGCTTCTGGCAACTGTGACTTTGTTGTTTAACCAAGGGATGAGCCAGGCAGCAAGACCTAGGGGAGGCAAAACCATAAAAGATCAATTCCCCATGTAAACCAGAGCTTGGGATCCTTAGTCCAGAGGTCATGTCATGGTATCCTAGTTCTTGTGGATTACATATTCACCAAGGAGAAAACGATAAGCAGGATTACATTTAAGACAGAACAGTAAGAAAAAGCTAGGTTCTAGTTGGGGAAGCTACGCACATCTCACAGGCCATGTTGGTGTCCAGTTTATTCAACATATTATTTAGTTTGTTCATTTGCTACCTGATGAAAACATTGAGTTGGCTAAGGTTTGTGCATATGTGTATATTTTAATGTAGCTTAAAAAATCAGTTTTACAAAGATGTTTTATTGTATTAGGGTGATAAGTAGTGAGCACAAGCAAGGTGTGCAGTGCTTAAGATCAGGGAGGCTGGAGGTGGGGAAATCAGTCTTGACTCTGCTGTTTTGCGAGTTAAGTAATCTGAGGCAACTGACTTTGCCTCTGAGCCTGTTTCTTCATTTGCAAGACAAGGATACTACTGGCACCACTTTGTGAGATAAAAGGAAATAATGCTATAGTCCATCCATAGAATATAGCTCAGGGTTTGAATACATCATATAGTCAAGAAAAAGAAAGTTTTACATCTGTTTAAAATAAACATTTTATTTAAAAATATATGCATTTTCTTAAAAAAAAAAAAAATGAACACATGCCAGCTTTGGTATTGCAGCCACTGCTTCTTTGCTTTTCCCAGTATCCCACATGTATTTCTTTTTTATCTAGAGTTGAGCAATGAGTTTGGCATGAACACATACTACACAGGTCCCACAGAGTGCACGCTCCTTCCTCAGTTCTGCACAACGTGCCTGTTTGTGTTTCACTGAGGGAGGATTTTAAGCACCCAGCAATCTACCGCCCTGGGCCCTCGATGTAGGGCCACAGGAACTGAACTCTGGGGAGCAGTGTGGGTTTGTTCCTTTGGAAAACATTTAAATAGCCTCCAGAGTCCTCGTTGCTATATTCTTATTCCATAAATACCCCAGGTAGTTAAACCATCTATAGGAAATGCATCCCACCAGTGTCCAGTGTCCATGATCGAAGTAGGTTTTAGAGTAAGCACAGGATACCTCCAGGAGGTTTTTGTGCTAATCCATAGGGGAAATCACCCAGGATCAGAAGGGAATTTACTCATATATTATTGAGTCCGAAGAGTCCTAGTACAATATCCCCGGTGGACGACATCAAATTCTTCCCAAATCCCTCCATATCTTGAAATCATTTCCCCATGGACAGCCTCAACCTAATCAGGGCTTCTTAACACACTAGCTCTTGGCACTATAGGACCATCTTGTTCCAGGACCTGCACTCTGTGTGTCTACTGTCTGTCTAATCAAGTATCAGCAATATCAGCATCTGAGAAACCTGCTGGTTTATAATTAGAATCACGGGAAATGCAAACCTTAGACTCCTTCCACTTCAGGTTTTCTCATTCTGATAGCAAGCCATGTGCCAGCATTTGTGAACTTATCCTGTGAGGAATGCAACAAAAGCCTGAAAAGGAGGAGGGAGGCCAAGTCGTCTTCACATTCTGGAGCTTTTCTCTTATGGGAGGGAGGCTCACTGTGGACACCTCATTTCCTTCCACCCCTGTAAGTGTTCCTTTGTCTAGAGAGCTAATTTCGATGACTGAGGCTAGGGTAGGACAAAAAATGTTTTCTCTACTTTTCCCTTATTATTAAGGGGTTTCTGGCTTTGGGAATCAAAACAAATGCTGAGTCTCACACGTTTTAAATGGTGGGAGACATAGAATCCCAAGTGATAAACTGGTACCATTTGACCATAAGAAAAAAGGCAACCATCTTTCCATAGGAGACAACTTTTAGTTCGCAGAGGCCCTCTATTCTCCCTTCTGGAAAAAGCAGGCCCATTTTTAGCATGGCTGAAACGTTTCTAGTCTAAGGATTGGGAGATTCCTAATGTTCTGCTTTTAAGGATTACAACTCCTTTATCATTCTGAATAATCTGTTCTGAATCAATTTGGTGGTGGAGGTCTGATGATATATGTTTATTACACATGGTAGGCATCAAATAAGTATCCACTGGATGAGTAAATCTGATGTGAGAGTTTGCAGCCAGACCAGCTCTAGAAGAGCTGAGTAGTTTTTGAAAATAACTTGTTTTGAGTGCTTCAGATAGGATTTTTTTGTTTTTTTCCAAGATTGGAAATAAATGTTTTTAAACAGAATAAGGTTACCACTACGCAGACCACTGACTGTTTAGGTTTTGGCTGTTTTGGTTTTCACATGTGCTACTACAATCATTGCATTGATAAGAATGGCTTCACCTTTACAAGTTTGTGATTCATGTTTTATAATGTGCCACCTTAGCTCAGTGGTGGTAAACATCGCACAAGTGTTACTGTGTTTTTCTTTTAGGACAAAAGAGGTTTATATATGAGTTATTATTCTAAATGAAAAACTTCAGTGTTCAGGTTTAATTATAGTTGATACTTTGCTATATATAAAAGGGGTTTTAGGTTGCACTTTGGCACTTGGTCTCTAAAAGTTTTGCCATCATGTCTTAGCTGAACCGAGAGAGTAGTAGATTAGAAAGTTGGGTCATTCTATTTTTTCCCTCTTCCTTCCTTCCTTTCTTCCTTCCTTCCTTCCTTCCTTCCTTCCTTGCTTGCTTCCTCCCTCCCTCCTTTCTTTCCTTCCTTCTTTCCCTCCTTCCTTCCTTCCTTCCTTCCTTCCTCCCTCCTTTCTTTTCTTCCTCCTTTCCCTCCTTCCTTCCTTCTTTCTTCCCTCCCTTCCCCCCTTTCCTTTTTTCTTTTCTTTCTCCTTCCTTGCCTCTCAACCTTCCTTTCTCCTTTCTTCTCTTCCTCCCACTCTTCTTCCTTTCTTCTCTCTCTCACCCTCTCTACCCCTATGATAGAACATGTACTATCTCAATAACATTGCTAGGAGCTACTAACACCACAGGCTTATGGAGAGTACTTGCACAGATGACTTTTCTGCCTGCATTGGATATGGACGACTCTACTAGGCTGCAGAAACATTAGGGATGGCTGCAAAGGTCTGCATATCTGCATCATCATGAGGACTTCGGGGGTCTTAACTACATGTGGTTATCTTTAGGATCAAGAAACATTAAACTTGCATGTAGCCACTTTTTGCCCACCTTTTGGTCATGCCTGACTTGTCACTACAAAAGAGGTCAGAACTGTTAATGAGAATTTAAAGAAAAAATACCCAGCAGCAGACAGATGAATTCCCAATGATCCACAGAGAACAGGCGTCTTCACTGATTCCCTCTAAAGTACCTTCAGTTTTCTCCCTCAGCCTCTCATCAGAGCTATGCAGGGTGACTATGGTGTGTAGAGATGGAGAAAAAGCTAAGACCAATTCCCCAGGGATCTGCTCTTTTCACTCTGTAGGTCTGCAGTAGCAAAGAGGAATCATCCTGTCTTTTGTCTGCTGTGAGGCTTGTATATTAGACTTGGGAAATAGCCTAAAAATATCCCAGTGAAAAGGCACAGTCTAGCCAAGTATAGAGGTTTCCTAACCAGGTTTAATCCCTCAGATAGAAATACCCAATTGGAGAAAATGATTAACACTGAGACCAACATCTCAGAATAGGGACACCATGGGAGTTTGTTTTCCAAAGGAAGTAAGAGGAGAAAATAACATACGAATAGCATAATGTGACACCTGAAACATGTGCTAACAGCAAGCTTTGTCCAGACCTAACTCAAACATCACATCTGAGGAATAAACCAATACATGGAATGTGTCATTAAAGGTCTCTTCCCCATTGCTTTATCTTCATGGTAATTTTTTCCTCTAGATTTTTGGTTCTGAAAACTGACATAGAAGCAAAATAAAAAATTTACCATGCAGATTGTTTCAAGCATAGTGCAGATCAAGGAATGTAAAGCAATTTCCATATTTCTTTATAAAATTCTTCTACAAGAGACTGTATTACCATTGGCAGCAACTAATGGTGAGACCATTCTGTCTTTTCACATTCATATCATTGCCAAGAGGAGCCTGTTCACGGCAAGCAAGTGGCTGTGAGTCATTGGGCTGTGTAGCCCTTTGTCATACACAGAGAGGCAACGTGTAGTCTGGTTGGTTAATCAGAAACTCCTAGTGAGAAAGGTAAGGTATCATTCACAGCAGTTTGAAGGTTAAAGGTTTTTGGTACAGAACTCTGTAACACTGATTTTCGAGACACATGCACACACACACATGAATACGTATGCATACATATGTATGTGTGTACATGTGTACACACTTATATGCACATGTCTATAGAGCAATGCATCCATCCCCTGAATAAGATCTGGCAGCTTTCAGAGTAGCAGTCACCAAAATCACTCTACGTTCACACATTTTTACAAGCTAACGATAATGGAATGATTTCTAAATTTCTGGTTATCAAAAAGAGAACTTCTAAAATCACAACATTTTTTGATTATTTTCTCTATAAGTGCACAGTGAACAATTCTTTTTACAAAAGAAGAAAACAGTGCCTCAGTGACTTAAATTAAAAACAAAAACAGCAATAGCTACATTCTACACATGCAACATTATAAAATGGTGAACCGGAGCCACAGTGAGCCTTAAAGAAACTGTCCTACAATTTAAGTTTTTTCCCAACTCCCTGCCAAAGCACAAGAGGTAATGAGGAATGCTCATTAGACCATGGTCTGTTTGTTTTTCTTTTATCATTTTCAATGTACAGTTGTGCTTTCTTAACACCCAGACCCGAAATACACTCTCTCCAGTAAATATCACTCATATTTATAATGATTTCCAACACCACAAACCTGTAAAATAGTGACTTCCAATTTCCCCAGAGGAACAAAAATCAAAGATTGCTTATACACCAAATGAGAGCAGAAGAAGCTTTGTGACCTGGGGATGAAGTCACCAGTTTCTTCCTAAGGAATTTCTTATGACTTCATTTTGCAGTGAACTGTATGTATGAGAAATGAGATCTGCAGGAGAACTTGGACTTTCAACTCTAAAAAACATGGCTTGTTAGAACAGAGAAGTCCTCCCCTCTCATGCTAGTACAAAAAAATTGTCAAAAGAAGAGCAAGAAAGGATTACTGTTTTGAAAGACAAATAGAGAACAAAGATATATTGAGGTGGACCCCCTCCTCTTTCCACAATTAAAAAACAAAAGAAGTTGGACCTCTGTAAGTAACAGCCCTGGAACAGTAATACATGGTATTTATTCCTAGGATATGCAAAACAGTGTTGTTTTCTAGTCCTATTTAAATTCCCCTGATTTAGCTTCTTCTGCCTAGAGATATCCTTGTCTGTTTATGTCTAGTCTTTGGAATTAAAGTGGGTTGTGATGGAGAATGAAAGGTATCTCTTACGGCAGGAAGTTTTCCTGTTCAAGGTTCTCACCTATTAAACAATGCTTATCAGAATGGAGATGGTGGGAATGTCTGGGCTACTGGTTGAAAAAGGAAAAATGTTCTAGGTGGAGTTAATTAATTGTTATGAATAGCCACAAAGTCTTGGGTTGGAACCACTCTAGTGGGGCAGTGAGGGGTATAAAATTGAATTTACTTTTCTGGGAATGCATTGGTTCTGCCCCTTGATTCTGCCTTAAAGAGTCTCCAGCTGAAGCTGGACCTGGCTGCTGTTTTGAAAGACAGATAACTGAGATATGGGAAGTGAGCTCCACTGTGGCTATGTCCTCTGTAACCTTTGAAGAACAATCTTCCCTGTATTCTCCAAAGACTTTTAATGCTTTTTTTTCCCCCACAGCATGTCTAATAAAGTCATGCCAAAAGCTTACAGTGTGAACTTATGCCCCACCAATGCCTGAGAAAAAGTATGGGCTAGAAAAAAAAAGTTGGTATTTGAAAAGGCAGTGAAAGTATTTTCTTTGGCATCCTTAATCTGAGAAAGCATAGTTTTGAATGCGTTGTTGAAATGATTAACAGTTACTGAATGTTGGTAAATACCACATTATATATATATATATAAATGACTCCTATTTGTTCTTGTTGGTTGGCGCAGAATTCTCCTTGCTTCTCTTCAGTCTTCTTCTTGCATAATGTAAGTATATATGGCCACGCATTCTCCCCCACGGAATTCCTGTTAGTCTTCCTTAGCACTTGTGTGCCAAGCATTCTACCACTGCTGCAAGTGAAGGTCCATGGGGGAATTCAAATTGAGATCGGTGACATCCAGGAAGTCAATGTTGAAGATGCTGGGGCCACTGCTGGTGAGGGAGCTGAAGCTTGGTGTGGAACTGGGTGGGGTGAGGTCCAGCCACTCCATGGTTTCCCAAGGAGACTCAGTGAAGCTTAGTTGCAGCCCACTGCTGTCCACTGAAGAGGGTGAGAACTGTGTCTGCATCGGGGAAAGGGGGCCTGGCAGGATCTCGTGTGTGCTGAAGATGTCTTCCGCTGCCTTCCCAGCAAAGCCATCCATGATCCCATCGAAAGGTGGCTCCTCACCCCCAATTTTGAGAAGGGTGACATCACTCACCTTTCCTAAGGGACTGTGGGAATTTAGTAAGACTTCTAGGTGCTCATCGCTGTCAGTGACATAGTGATCAAAGGAGAGCTGGCCTCCAGAAGTTGCTTGTTCAAAGGAAGCTGAGGGCTTGGGGAGGATGATGGTAGGGCTGCGAGAGGACCCTGGTATCTTTGGGAGTTTCTGAAGACATGAATGATCTCCTCTGGCATCAGCTGGCATTTCTGTTGGTAAAGCATAATGCAAACTGCTAAACCATTTCAAACTAAGCCTGGTACATAAGAGGAGTCAGGAATGAGTGAGTTACACTGAGGCAGGCGCAGAAAGGGGCACGCTTCCCTGTTTATCGCTCATCACGTCTCGTTCCTAAAGTGCTCTTCACGTCCCCAATTCATCTTACCTCAGGTCTCACCCAGACCTTTTCGTTCTGGAATTTCACCTTTGTGATGATTCAACTCTCTTCTTTGATGGTCCCTTTGCCTATTCCTTCACTACCTCCTGGCTGTCCCACAGTGCACTGCAGCCTCCATCATACTCTACATGGGGGCCAGCAGATGAGGGACCAAGTAATATCCTGCTCTTTCCTCGTTGTTAATTACTGCCCTCCTATTTATTACTGATTTTCCTCAGTGGTTCTGAGGGGCACATCCTTCCCTCCTCCCCCAGTCTCTTGGTCCCTCCTGCTCATCTGCTGACAGCTCTGCTCCCTGGTTCATGGTCCTCTTGCCCTTTCAGCATTGCTCATTCTCTGTGACTTCTGCTACTTCAGAAGTTATGCAATGCGCATGCTGGGATCTCAGCTCCTTGGCCTCCTCCTCAACTCCAGTGACTCCTGCATTCCAAGTCTGTTGAATATACCCTGGTTACTCTCTTACAGATACCCTCGGCCCCCTCGCTCTTCTCTCTTTTCCAAGTCCTACTCTAGGAAAACTCCTCACCTCAATAAGCCTTACCTCTGCTGACTCTGAGCCTGGTCTGAATTATCTGGACTTTGAAAGAAAAATTACACAACAAAGTTGACCAGTTCCACTTAGAGTTGACTTAGTTCCACTTCATCATGTCAAGACCACTGCTGGCATTTAATGCTGCCTGACAGTCCTACTGTGCTTCTCCGGAAAGCTCAACTCATTTATAATTAGCTCATGACTATTCTTCCTTGGAGCCTTCCTCACTGACCTCTGTGCCCTCACTCCTCACTGACTTTGCCACACATTCATCTTTAAAAGGACATCTGATGTACACATTTTCCTTTCTTATCATAAAACTTCTACATCTACATATATCTTAACACTTATCTTTCTTCTTCCTTCTTACAATTAAAGAACTGTCTATTCATTTGCAAGTGGTCCATCCCCCTTATTGTCCACCTTCCTGATTAGACTGTAGAATCCATGAAGGTGGAGACCTTGTGCAGCTCTGAATCCATCATGATGACTGGTCACTCTTTCTCTGAGTCTTTTTCTGCTTTCTCCAAAAATTAAGACAGTGTGGCTTTACCTTAATGCCCAGCCCTAAGCTCTTTTTACTTATATACATCTGCCTTACGTCCTCTTATTCATTTGCATGTTTTCAAATTCTAGGCACATACTTTATAAATTTTAGAAACCAACAAATGGATGAGTTGAAAGGAGGCAAAAAGAGCATTTTTTATTGCTAACTTCAGTCATATTTAAACATGAGTGGACAATCTGGTGGAAAACTACTAGTTGGATTTTGACTTGGTAGCACAGAACTTTCATTAGCTGCTTGGTTCTTTTTTTTATAATTAAGAAGACAGGGACATTGTTATAAGAGCTGTAGAAAGAATGTTGTAGCAGGAGAAAATACACAGGGAATCAGGGATAGAATTCAATGAAAGCTGTTAAAATTATTCAGTGAAGTGTTTTTGGGATGAAGACCAGGAAGAATTATCTACATGTTTCTTTTATCTGTTCCAAACTTATCCCTGAAGCTCGGAGGAAATGATTCTCTCTACCTGCAGACCACTTGGAGCACCAGCCCAAGAGTGCCTCTGACCTTGGGTCTAAGCATTCATTCCCTAGAGTATGCATAAGTGCAGAGGCCTGGATAGACAAAACTCAAGGCAGCCTTACCTCCACTTTCAATGAGAACATCCAGGAGCTCATCCATCTGCTGACTCCGAGTCATTTGCTGTTGCGAATTAACAACAGAAGAGCAGATCAGTTAAAAAGCGGTTACTTCTGTGGGAAAGCATCAGAATTAGCACTACGGGTTTTTGAACTAGGTTTGGCTAAAGACTTGTAAATGATTGCAAAATACAGGTAACATAAAATATAGTATTTTAACCTTTCTTAGTGTACAGTTCAGTGGGATTAAGCACACTCACCTTTTTGCACTATCATCATCACTTTCCACCTCCAGAACTCTTCATCTTACAAAACTAAAACTCTACACCCGTTAGATAATAACTTCCCAATAAGGCCCCTCCCTAACTCCTAGCAATCACCATTCTGCTTCCAGTCATAACATGTGTTAGAATTTCCTTTTATAAAAACATATATTTAATAATATTCTATTTCATGGATCTACCACATTTTATTTATCCATTTGTTTGTGAAGGACAAAGACTGTCCTCATCTGTGGGCTATAGTGAATAATACTGTTATGAACATAGATATACTGGCTAAAGATTTTTGAACTATGTTTGATTAAGCCTCAGTGTAAATTTTGACAGAACAATCCAATAAAAGAGGAGAAAAGAAGACAAAATGATCCCCAGCACAGAATAAGAATAAGTTGAGTTAAGTGGTTTCCATCCAAGGACTGGCATCTTACGATACAGAAAATAGCCTTTCTCACTCTGACTTGAATCCATTTGACTTCTGTGGAAGTGGCTCAGGAACCTGGCTCATATTTCCATGGTTACTCCTTGCAAATGCTTGTGGAACCTCTGTAGAGTAGCCCCTTTCCTCTCTGCTCATCTGAGGTAGATAGAGTCTTCTTTCTAGAAGTCCACATTGCCAGGAGTTTTCTTTCATGAGGGTGGATGAAGTGGAAGAAAAAGAGTACTACCCTGACAACTGCTTTCATATATCTGAGCACCTACCATGTGCCCCAGCAACGCAGCAGTCAGACTATCTAAACTCCTTACAAAGATAGCAAAAAATGTGTGTCCATTTCATTCTTCTGAGAGCCCACAGCAAATTAATATACATGGATATCAGCAATCAATGTGGAGGGGAACACTGCTCAAAGAATGAGTTATCTGCCAGTCTGGAAGGCACTGTATGCCCATAGGGTCTGCCAGATAATGTCAAAGAGCCAAATATAGAAGAGAGGTAAAATGCAGAACACAGCTGTGTTCCAAAGAAGCAGTGTTACTTTGCTTCAGGTAATTTCCAGTTCTGTTTGGTAGAAGATTGGATTTCATGTTGCAGATCTCCTTTCTTTTTCAGAAATGGTAAATCCCATTTTGCATAATATCTCCTGATCTTTAACTTACTGTCTCTCTCAGAGGAAATCTTATCACTAGTTGATTTTGAATTTGGGATAGCAGCCAGTTGGCAGCAAGTGATATTTTCTTTTCAGGCATGGGCATCTTTGCAGGACTGTCTGATACCAAAGCTCAGGCCATTTGAAATAGAGTCATTGCTCCGTATCATTAAGAGATGAGTTTCAGGTTCTACTGGATTACCAAAATTCTTGGATGCACAAGTCCATTATATAAAATATAACCTATGTACATTCTCTTGTATGTGTGTATGTTTAAAATGATCTCTAGATTACTGATACTACCTGGTACAATATAAATGTAATATAAATAGTTGTTATACTTCTTTGGATGGGTCTGGTCTGCTCCATAATCTTTTTGGCACGAGGGACTGGTTTTCTGGAAGACAGTTTTTCCATAGCCAGGGGGAAGGGATGGTTTCAGGATGATACAAACACATTACATTTATTGTTCACCTTATTTCTATTACTATTACATTGTACACTTTGTTTCTATTATTAGATTCTCATTAGGACCAAGCAACCAAGGTCCCTGCATGAGGATTTCACAATAGGGTTCGAGCTTCTGTGAGACTCTAATGCCAACACTGATCTGGCAGGAGGTAGAGCTCAGATAGTAGTGTGAGCAATGGGGAACAGCTGTAAACAGAGATGAAGCTTCACTGGTGTGCCTACCACTCACCTCCTGCTGTGTGAGTGCGGGGCTGAAGGACTTTGGATCCCTGTCTTACTGTTTGAGGAATGGTGACAAAATGTCTGTATATGTGAAGTACAGACATAGCTCCATAGGCCACATACAGTACCTGAACCAGGGGTGAGGCTAGCAAAACTCAAATAAAGAGAGCTGGAGAGAGACGGAGGACTTGTGAAATGCAAGAGGCCAATATAGGGCAAATGTCACTTCCTTCACATGGAGTCAGCAAGGTGCTCAGCATGCTGCAGATCTGAGTTTTGCTTTTTGGAACTTTCAGGAATTTTTTCCCTAATATTTTTGATCCATGGCTAGTTAAATTCATGGACACTGAGGACTGATTATATAATATCACTCATTGTTTTTCTTTGTCTTAGTTCTTCACTGAAGCTCTCCAAACACAAATGAGACTAGAGTATACACTAGACCTCTTTGCATTCATTGCTCAGCTTCAACAAGCATCACTATTTTTATAGGATTATTGAGTTTTAAAGCTAGGAAGAATCTTGAAAATTATTGTCCTGACAATATATTTGAATATCTATCATGCACCCCAACAATATTGTGTCACATGACCTAATGTCCACATAGAGTAAATACAGTTCCTTTTTTATAGAAAAGAAGTTGAGTGTGTGCCCAACTATTGTGACAAAGGCAGGTGACAGGTGGCAGAACTGGCAGTAAGGCCAGGTGTCCTGAAAGCCATCCCAGCCTCTTTTCCCTGTATCGCTTAGCTTCTACAGATGCTCCTGGACTCGTGATGGGATCACATCCAGAAGAACACACTGTAAATTGACAATACCACCCATGGAAAATACATTTAATACACTTAACCTACTGAGCATTTAGCTCTGCAACAAGGCACCCTGCACAGCACCGGATGATCCCCCTCCTGCCTGCAGGGTTGACTGGGAGCTGCACTTACTGCCACTGCCTTGCTCTGAGACAGGATTGTCCTATATATCACCAGCCCAGAAAGAGACAGTTTGAGCTGACTGTGTATCATTTCATAACACAATAAAATTGACCAGGTTGTAATTGGAAGCAGCCTAAATTGGTACCATCTGTATATACAAGCAATACCTCCTGCAGTTACTGTGGAGATACTTTGCTCACTCTGTTGAAAAGGTACTTGACAATATTAGAATTTGCAGAAGTGCATGAAGCTTAATAATATAAAAGTATCCACTGAGTCCCCATAGTTTTCTACAAAGAAAAATTTGCAGTTACCTGCTTTACTGCATCTTCATAGGACGGAGGCTGTGTTATCTCTGAAACTGTTGAATTTGATGTGGAAAAAGTTGGAGATGGCATTGAAAATTTTGGCCCCACCTTATCAGAAGAATGTAAACCAGCTATCTATAATGTGAGTAAAACACAGAGAATAGCATTCAATTTATGGACCATAAGTGGTATTGCATCTACTTTAGAAATTACAGGCTATATTCAGAAAAATTGACCCATGACATAATAATAATGATAATGATGATAATAATAATAATTCAAAGATGAGAAAATAACAAATAAGATGTATTAACAATAGTATATATCAGTGTGGATTTATGGCTTGTGGCATCTTAGAATGAGAGCCTTACAGATTTATTTCTTCCTCTTAGGAGATGCTCTCTCAGGAAAAAACAAGACAAAAAAAGGAAATAAAATTAGTCTAATCCAAAACAAATACTTTCATCAGTCCAGGAATTTGCAGAGTAATTTGTTTCTTGGGTCATTTCATTCCAAATTGATTATATCTGCAAAGTTGGAGGCATTTCTGGGCTCTTGCCCTGAACCCACTTTGTTTATTGTGAATGTGTTTTCCTGTAGGGTGCCTGGCTCATATCAGGGTCTCTCTTCCTTCTCTGACTTGTGACATGTGGCTGTTTTATGTCGTGGCTGTCATACTTTTGTCTCTTTCCTATCACCATCTCATTGTTCCTAAGAACTCCCCGTATCCTGGGCCTTCATAGCTCTGATTTCTGACACCAGCTGAAAATATTCATCTCGCCCTATTTCTTCAGACATAGATTCAACCTTCCTGCACTTCTCCAGTCCTCTCCACCAATCCCAGTAACTCTTTATTTCTCATGACATTATTTTCTCATGAACTTCTATTCCAGTCTTCAACTTCACAGAAATCAGCTTGCTGTACATGTTGTTTTGCAAATTTATCACAGCCATTTCAGTCACCATGATATCTGGGATGACCCCCAGAAATGATTCCTGAGGATGATTCCCAGCTCACATCTGTACACCCATTTCAAGGCATTCCAAGGAGGTATGTGCCTATCTGGAATAAACTGATATTCTCCCTCAATCTGAACCTCACCATTTACACTACAGAACAAGGACCACTGAAGGCAGAAGAGGTGATATGGGCACTCAGGCTAAACCTTTTTTGGGGATACTTACCTTTGGCTGTACACCTGGGCTTTTGGGATAAGGGTTGACTCCAGCACCTTGACTGCTGTCTGTCTGGGCTCCAGAGAAAGGAGTGTGGAGGCCAGAAGACTGGGGAGAGAAATTTGGAGGATGGCCATCATGTGCTCCTGAATTCTGTGGACAGGAAGAAGCGACTAGTTAAACAGCCAGCTGCATACCAGAGTGTGGCTTTTTCTGACACTTCTGGTCCTTGTACTGTGACTTCTGGTGTCTTCTCTTTACAAAGTTTCCTAAATTCCATTAGCAGATGAACTCACCTAAAACCCAGCTTTGTACACATCACCTATGGTTCACAAACTTCTGGTGATTCTATATTCGCAGCAGAGGAGCTCCACATCCGACCTGGGTGAGTGATCAGGACCCTGGTGCCCTTTGTTTTGCATGCCCAAATTCTGCCATTCCCACCACAAACAACCTGCATCATCTGTTCTTTCTCACTGTCTTGGTAAACATGGAAAGCCCTTTGCTTGCTCCTCTTTCATTTTAACACCACACTTTCCATAAAGTCTGACAAAGCCTTTACAGAATCCTCCTGGGCTTTTCTACCCATTTATTATCATTCTTCCTCCCTCCATCACCACCTACTTTGTGCAGGATTTGATATCAGAGGTACAGGTAAGTCATGTTATCTATATTGTTCTTTACCTTTTCATCATGAAATTATTAATAGCTTTGAAGAGTTTTATAAGCCATAAATCACTGTAAAATGTTACTTCTGCATAGCACCAATATCATGAAAATTATATCCCAGAGCTATGTCTTAAGAGCTATTTTTACCTTTGTTGCCTAGGATACTAGACATTCAGTGTTTATCAATGACAATAATTCATTTTAGCTCACATTACTTCTGGAGTGCCCCTTCAGGAAGGGTTATCATTCATTTGAATGCGCTGTCCTGGTAGGTGGGTAAAAATGTATTCCCATTACTTTAGCCGTTCCTCATACTTCCAGAGTTTCTATATTCAAAGCGAAAAAAGTATGGACTTTGGGATCAAATAACATGGGGTTTGTCTGACCCTACACAATGGGCTTAATCTGAATCTCATTTTAAAATGAGCCTCATTTTCCTCAGTGGTAAATAAAGAGTCATAAATCAGAGCTCATAGGATTGTGGTGACAATGAATGGGATTATTCAGATGCTGCTCATACTGGGCACTCGGCAGGGATGCAATTAATGCAGGAGTTCGTCTTATTCCCTTTTTGATAGGACAGATTTCAGAGCCTTTGGCAACATAATTTTCTTTCTCAAATATACTTGTCTAGACTTTCTTTATAAATTCTTCAGCTTCTTGGACAAAAATCTTTGCTGGTGAGGCTGGTCTAGTCTTTGGGTTACTCTGCTAAGCCATCTCCCACAGCTTTTCTGTCCTGCTCCAGTAGGGCTGGCCTCTTTCTGGTACTTGTGTATTTCCCACATTCTAACCCCCTTTGCTTTCCGTGCCTTAGCTCCAAACGTCATGAGATTTTATCCCTGTCTTCTTCAAGGTTTTGTTTAAATGTCCCTGGTTTTTCAAGGTTTGAAGTTGCAAATTTGTCTCACAAATACAACCCCTTTTCTATTTTTCCATAAGATGGAAACCCTTTATATTAATCTAATGTTAAAATTTTGCTTCTCATCTGTCTTCCCAAGAGAAGAGAAACTTTCGTTTGGTTTGTTCAGCACTAATTCCTATTGGGTCAGAGCGTGACACATAAGGGGCACTTAGTAAATACTATTTTATGGAGAAAAGAATAAGGTCTGGTAACTTCCCCTTTGGGTTTCTTGATACAGTGATTTGATATCCAGGAGTCCTGAAAGCAGTGGTCAGCGAATTATAGCTCACAAGCTGAAGTTTGCTCTTTGCCTGTTCTTGCAAATAAAGTTTTATCGGAATCATGTATTCATTTAGCAGATGTCTATGTTTGCTTATGTGGTACAAGGGCAAAGCTGAGTAGTTGTGACCCAAGGTATATGACCTATAAAGCCTCAAATATGCCCCCCTGGGCCCTTTTTAGAGCAAGTTTGCCTCGCTGTCCTAGAAGATCAGTGAGTCTGGAAGATTTTAGTTGCTGGGCTTTCAGTAAGCCCCTCACACTGCGTGTTCCAACCTCAGCTCTTTGTGCCTGGCAATCCCTCTCCTATTTCCCTCAGGAGGGGTACGCTTGGCCTGGTGCTAGGTGTTCTTACCTGCGTGGCGCACACCTGGCTGCTGGGCGAGGGCACCTTGTGTCCTTCTCCCGGAGCCCCGGAGGACGAAGGCAGGAAGTAGTGGCTGTTGGGCGAGGGGGGCAGACTGATGTGTTGCGGGCTCTTCACAGCTCCGAGGGGCGAGTGCTGCGGGGAGCACTGGGGGCTGAGAAACGTGGAGGGAAGCACGCTGGTTGGACCCGAGGACTCCGCACACGGGGCGCTGCCGAGCGGCAGGAGGTGAGCAGCTTCGCGGGCCTGTGGCTGACTCTCAGGGCTGTGGCTCTGTGACTTGGCGTGTATCTGCTGCGAGGTGAACGGGCAGCTGGAGGCGGCCTCCTCCTGCTTGATGGGGGCCGTCAGGAACGGCAGCGGCTTCTTCTCGGCGCAGTTACTGCTCTTCTGTTTCTGCAGCTGCATCCTCAGCTCCTCCACCTGCCGCTGCTCCTGCTGCAGTTTCCAGGTGAGCTCGTTGATCACCTTCTGCTTCTCCACCAGCATCTTGTCCTTCTCGGAGTCCAGCCCGTCCAGCTCGGGAGGGCCCGAGCCCCCATTCAGGCTGCTCACGTGACTCTCCTCGGCGCAGACATGCACCGGGGACGGGTGCAGGCCGAAGGACGGGGACGCCTCATTGAAGGTGTCAGGCAGGGACCCGGCCACTGACAGGTCAGACGAGGCAGGGGAGATCGGGGGGCTGGAGCTGGTGCTGCCGAAGTGGTACAAGCCGTTGGATAAGGCGCTGGTGGAAGGCGGGGACTGATAACTGGGCAGAGTGTTGGGAGTAACGGGAAAGGTGACAGTTGTGATGTCCCCGAAGTTGGGCACAGGGTTGCCAGAACAGTCCTGGAAGGGCCGAAGCCGGTCCATGAGAGCTGTCTTCGTGCCTGACACGGGCAAGCCCCGTATTCGAAGCTGTTGTCTTAATTCAGAGACCTAAAGGAAGCAGGATGTTGTGTGTCTCAAATGACAGTATTTTAAACATATATTTATTGTTAAATTAGCTTGAAAATATCACACGTGGGAGTTTACAGCACCCATTTCCCATTTTTACTTGTTTTCAGTTTCTTCTCTTACCCCTGAATCAGTTTTGCACAATTCCAACGATTCTTTTGTACTTTTATCACATGCAGATGCTCCTTGACTTACTGTGGGGCTGGGTTTTGATAAGCCCATCAAACACTGGGCGCATCCTAAGTTGAAAAACCATTCAGTACGCCTAGGCCTCCCAGCACCCTGGCTTAGCAACTCAATATGCCGGAGAGCATCGGTTTGTTCTCACAATCACAGGGCTGGCCGGGAGCCACAACCCCTGCTGCTGCCTGGCATTCTGAGAGAGGGCCGGACAGCAGGTTGCCAGCCCAGGAGACGATCAAATTCAAAATTTGAAACGTAATTTCTACTGAATGCATATCATTTTCATTCCCCTTATAAAGCTGAAGCCCAAGAGAGGAGCCATTGTAAGGGGGACATCTGTACCATGCGCTCATGGCCTTAGGGTCATAGAGATGTCAAATAAAAGGTAGAAGTATCCTCCTTTACTGTCCTTCAAGCCCCTTCTTGGTACCACGTCCTTTTTCATAGATAAGGAAGCTGGTCTCTGCCTGAGTTTGGACCCAAGCCCTCCAACAGTGGTCTCTAAGCACAGCAGGTCCCTGTAGGGTTTCTGGCTTCCGGGGTGAAGCGTCTTCCCACCGTGCTCTTTCTCAAACCTGAGCGCGCACCTGAGGGTTTAGGACAGCACATGCTACAGGCCCCACCCTGCAGTTGAGGGTCAGTCAGCCTGGGGAGGGGATAGAGAATTTGAATTTCCAACAAGTTCCCAGGGAATGTAATGCTGCTGGTCCCTAGAGCAGACTTGGAAAGTCACAGCTCCCCACTAAAATTTATGTCTTAATTTTAATGACTGGCTGAAAGATAGTCATATACTGAGAGAGAATGTGGTGATAGGCTTTGGTGCAAACCCTGGGCCTGCCTATTCCTAGCTTCAGTGGTCATCTGTTCCTGTTCTGTGAAATAGGATGATGTTACCTACCTCCGTGTTTCTGTGACAAATGGTTTGTTTGTTTTTCTTTTGGTTTTTCTCCGGTACCGGGAACCGAACTCACAACCTTGCGCTTGCCAGGCAGGCGCTTTTGCCGCTGAGCTAAATCCCCAGCCCCTTCTGTGACAAATGGTTTGAAATTTGTAAGGCACTTGGTGTAGAGCCTGGAATGTGGTTGCACAATGTATGATCTTATTATTATTATTATTATAATAATCTGAGTCTATTATTATATTGATTCAGATGTAAGTAGTTCCTCTTTACATTTTATAATGTTTGTAAATTACAAATTATGAAATGTACACCAATATGAGAATTGGTCAAATAAATGACCAAGCACGAAATGATGAGATATTACAGATCTATTAAATAATTGCTGACACTGGATAATGGTATAATACAAAATGAAAGAAAGTTTGAATTGATTCTGTTTTTTAAACAAGTTACATAAACAATATGCATGTGTATATTTAAACCTAGGGTTGCATATGGAAAATCTGGACAGATAAATGCTAAGATGTTAACAATGGCTTTCATTACCTGTATTTTCTAAATGTTCCACATAAACATATTGGTTTTGTTATTAAAACAGGAAATGTACTGAATCAATTATTAAATTGTTAAATTATTAAATTATTAATTGTTATTAAAACAGGAAATGTACTGAATCAATAATTGTATAAAGCAGAAGAATATTTAGGGAAACATTCTCAGCTTTTTAAAGATCTTTTGAATATAAAAGCAAATGAAATAGTTTTTTTTGTTGTTGTTGTTTTTGTTTTTCTCTGGTACCGGAAACTGAACTCATGACCTTGCGCTTGCCAGGCAGGCGCTTTGCCGCTGAGCTAAATCCCCAGCCCCAGCAAATGAAATAGTAATAAAATGCTGACAACCAAAATTTAAAACATCTGTAGGTCAAGAAACCATAAACAAAATACAAATCCAAACAACAATCTTGGAAAAAATAACTGCCACACAAATAATAAAATGTTAAAAAGTTCAATGCATCGAGTTTGCTTAATAATTAAAAAAAAAATAAAAAAAATTGACAATATGAAACAGATAAGAGGTATAATCTAGCTTTCCATAAGCAAAAAAAAAAAAAAAAAGTAAATAATGGCCAGTAATGTACGTATATCATTAGCAATTCAAGAAATGCAAATAAAACAAATATGTACATATATTTATATTCATCAAATTGTCAAATAAAAAATGAGTAATTACCCTTTGTGTTACTGAAGTGGCCCCTCAAATAAATACAGATATTAAAAAGAGAGAGGTCTTTATTACCATCCTACTCAAAGTATCGTCCAGGGACCAGGCATGTGAACAATATCTCAGAGCCAGTTAAAAATGCAGTATCTCTGTCTGGACACCAGGCCTGCAGAATGGGATCTGCATTTCAGCATAGGCCTAGGGGGCTCGCTGCACATCAGCCATTAAGTAGCTCTGCATCAACATGCTGCTTCTGGGAACAGACTGAAGCAAATTTGGGGATAGAAATTTGGTAATATGCATTAAGGACTTCTAAAAATGTTAACATATTTCAGCTCAGGCATCTTATTCCTCTGTAGTTAGCCTGGAGAAATAATCAGAGAGATTGAGAAGTGTATGTACAATGGTCACTGAAATCATATCTTGCCTAAGAAAAACTTGGCAGCTAGTTAAATGTCCAAAAGTGAAATGTTAACTGGGTGGTGGAGAGATATGCTGCTATTAAAAAGAAAACCTTGATTAAATATTAAAAGCCATGAAAACCTTCACGACGTGTTAGAAAAGAAAGCATGTCAGAAATTTACAGACACATAATTATTTAAAATAGTTATTGTGAAAAATATATGTTCACATGAATTTTAAATCTAGAAGGAATTTTAATCTATCATACTTTCTGTGACTTGTCCTTTAAAACATGTACTTTATTATACACTATCATATTTTCAACTGTGAGTGGATGTTATTTTATAATAAGCTAAAAACTATCAGAAAAGGATTGTATCAACTTACACTAGCAATAAAAATGCATTTCCTCCATAGTCTTCCTGGTAATGTTTTACCAATATTTTTTAAAGATTTGATGGTTTCCAAAAGTGCAAGATGACAACTTCTTATTGTTTTAATTTTGAATTACTTAAAATTAATGAGTTCTACATTTATTTTTAGAATCTGTTCTGGCACTGAATAATTCAAGTTATATTATTAAATAATGCAGGTCATATTTTAAAATAAAATGAGTACTTGCTGAGTTCAATTTACCTTAAATTTCAGAATATTATGCTGGGTAGGTTTATGTACATGTATGTCCTACATGCAGTGGTGCTTTAATCATTCAAACTTTAAAAATAATTTATTGCTGGTCAGCAAACACAGGAAAGTATAATGACCCTCATATACTCACCAATCAATTTCAAGAATTATCAGCCTATGCCCCATCGTGCTTCTTTTATGCCCTAACATGTTTCTTCCCCGACCTGTCCCGGATTATTTTGAAGCAAATCATATAATTTCAGATTTTAGGCATCTATCTCTAAGAAAGAACTCATAAAAGCATACATACACTAGCATTATCACACCTTTAAAAGTGAACTTTTGTCTTTTAATATCCATTATACATTTTCCTGGTTTTCACACTTTCTATCCCCTTCTCTCTCTCCCTTGCTCTGCAGTTTTTTTTAAGAAACAAGAGGCAAAAACTAAATTCCACTGTGATAGAACCATTAATAAATTTTTAATGAAAAATCAATTTCTTTTCTCTGTGCTCCTTCCCTTTTACTCTAATGTGGCAAAACGTGCCTGCTTCTTGAAAACACCTTTCATTATCTCACCAGTTACTTTTTGGGGGAGGTTATCTTCACATATTCATCATTTCTTTCCCCAAATGCAGTTGCACTCTATATTTCTCTCATTTTTATTTATTTATTTAATGTTTTAAGCTATATTTTTTGCAGTACTGCATATTAGATTCTGGGCTTTGCACATGCTAGGCAAGTGCTCTATCACTGAGCTAAGTCCCAAGACTTCTACATTTTTTATTTTGAGACAGGGTTGCATTAAATTGCTAGTGCTAAGTCACTAACTGCTAGTGACAATGTCACTACATTGCCCAGGTTGGGCTTGGACGTGCGATCCTCCTGCTTCAGCATCCTGCGGAGCTGGGATTACAGGCCTGCAGCGCACGCCTGGCTTTGTACTCCCTTCATTGCCCTTCTCTGTTCCCTTGTTAACCGCTTTCCTTCCCTCTGACTCTTCCTTTCACTCTCCCTCCACAGTTTTCTAGCTTTGACTCTCTTGGTACTTACAACTCTAGAGCTACTGTTCCGTCCCTGACAACGCCGCTGGGCTGAGGGGCTCCCACCTGCCACTCAGCGCATACTTGCCGCTGCCCTTCACAGCTGCTTCCTCTAACCTCCCGCTGTCTGTGCGCGGTGACTCTCCTGGGACTCAGGAGGCTCCTGGCCCCTGACACTGCCTGTTTCTCTCCCTTTCTCCCTCTCGTTTCTCAGGACAAGGTAAAGGATTTGAAATCATTCAGCTACATTCAGGCTTCACCTTTGCCATTTATAAACTAGTTAACTTGTCTGTCATTTAAACTCTTTAAGATTCTGATTTTTAGTTTCATGTTAAAAATCAGGGTGATAAAACTACCCTTGTAGGGTACACATTTATATAGAATGGTTCTAGTGTGAGTTTTTTTTATTGTGGTAAAATCCACACTACTTAAAGTTGACCACTTAAACACTTGAGTGCAAGCTCAGTGGCATTAAGTGCAGCCACACGATCGTGCAGTAGCACCGTCGTCCGTCTCCAGAGCTCTGCTTCATCTCCACCTAGACTCTATAACCACTAAACACCAACTCCCTTGGGCCCTTTCGGGCCTCATGCCCCAGTCGCTTCTGTTCTACTTCCTGTCTCTATGAATTTGCCTCTCCAGGGCCTCCTCTATGTGGTATTCGTTCCTTTGTGTGGGGCTTACTTCCCTTAACATAATACTTCTTTGATCTCCATGACATACAATTTGGGGAGTGCAGGGTAGATGACCCACAGCTCCATAGATTGTTATGACAAATTTGGCATCTTTTTCTGGGTATATGGATGCCAAATTGAAACAAACTTAATGAAACCTAAGCATTTTTAATTCAGGAAGAAATAATAGGAGAACTTTTAATATCAGGAACTGTGATACATTTTATTTATGGGTGTTAACACTCTGCAGCCATGGAATCTCCTTTCATCTGAAATAATCTCACTCCTCCCTCCGTGCTCCTTCCTAAGATACCATGGCAGTGGGTATGAGGGCTGGGAAGGTGGAAGGGCCGTACGCTTGGCATAATGAAGGCAGAGGAGCCTTTAGGGATGTAGTTTTTGGGGAAAATTATAAGACAATTTGTGGAGAGTAATAGGTGGGGTGGAAACCAAGTTAACAAGTGTGATTGCAGAGAATGGACTGGGAATTGAATTGTGGTCACCCACTGGAGAAGTCACATTTGTGTTTTTTAGTTTTGCTATGAGTATTGGATAGATGGATGAATATGTTATTCCTATGGATTGCTTTGAAACACACCAGGGTCCACTCAAAGTACAATGCCATTTTGAAATCAGATCCATGTGGTCTGCGATTTGGCATAAGCTGCTGGAGTGCATGGAACATTTAAAAAGGTGCTGCTTTAGGACAGAAGTTCCCATATTTGAGAATTTAATAGAGCAGAAAATTAATTTAAATTACATTAGAAACATTGGGTTACCAACATTTTATTTTGTTTGGTAAGGACTAGGATCGTTTTTTAATACCGGGGAACAAACACAACCCTACCCAAGGTGTTAAATTGCTTGCTACTACCTTCATAGTTTTCTAATAGAATAACTTAGAGTTCAAAACTTTGTAAAGAAATGCGTACTTTCAATGAATGTTAAATACATGGGGGGTACTTAGGTGTATGAAAAACACTACATGGTTCTTACTTTTCTCATTTTGCCAGAGATTAGCAAAACTATCATCATGGAATTGCCCACTGCTTTACAGCATTCCGGGGCTTTTATAAATGGTACATTAACACTTTGTGCTAAGTTCTATCATACGTACTATCCCATTTGACTATTAAAATAACCCACTTGTGCAAATGAGAAATCTAAGATGCTAAGAGATGTAAAGACTATCTGTCCATAAGCATCATGGCCCAGGAAGCTGAGCTAGAGACCTGTGGCTTTGTCCTTTGTGGGCAATTGGCCACTGCAGCCTTGATTCTGTCACAGCCTTGAGACTCTCCCAGACTGTTTGCTCATTTCTGCTTTTATTTTAGTGCAAGAAATTGCATAGCAAAGATGCTGATATAGCATATTGCTGTATCTGTTAAAAAGAAACGAAAATCATGCCAGAACTTGTACCTTGAGATCATCCAGGTTAGGTGGGAGTGGGCCTGGTTTGAGAGAAGAGACGCCAGTTTGTCCAGGAAAACTGCTTTTGACAGGGGACAGAGGAGTGTTGCCCAGTGGTGTTGAAGAGGAGCTGGGATTTCTGCCCATCTGTTCATTTGGTTCTCTAAAAAACACAGAGACTTACAACACAATTGGATACGCGGGGGCATCTTGCATTTGGACCTGATCTGGATCTGATCACAGAGTAATTGCCTGCAAGGATAAAGTGCGGGTGAATCAGCAGAAGACTGCAGAGTGAGGAGGGGCAATGGCACAGGCGAAATAGCGAGTAGCAGAAACCCTCAGGGTTTGCTTTAGGGAGATAGGGAGGAGTGGTAAGACTGGCTGAGGGGGGTACATGTCCGTCCATAGTTTAATGATGCACTGTTCTGGACCGGGGCACTGAGCATGCCTGGTGAAGCAAGACTGTGCCCAGGATTCATCATAATTGTCAGCATGACCCAAGGGTGGCCAGCGACAGGTTAGAGAACCAGTATTCCAACTTTAGAGGTGAGGATATCATCATTTGAAGGGAGGGAGGGGAGGGGAAGGGGATGCAAAGGGAGTTACGGTGTGTTAGGTCCACGTCCCAACTCCCCAGGGTGAGTGTAATCATTATGTACCGCCAGCATGTACTAATGAAAAGAAAAATTAAGGAAGCAGCAACGTGGAACGTGGGGTCAATCTTTGGAGCTGTCACTCAGCAACTCAGCTCTGTTGCTTCCCAGAGCAGAAGCATACTGGGATCATGAGCAAAGCCTGTATTGTGTTCTTAGATGTTCCACAGTTCAACCTGGCAATGATGTTTTCTTGACCCCCAAAGGGCACTGATTGACATGATTTATCTCACTGTTAGGGTCTTGAACAGGGATGCCTGGTTTCTGAATAGTCATATTCCAAGCATACCACATGAGGGTGTGATGTACAGACTGCTGGGTCCCAGATGCTGGCCCCCGAGCTTCAGCCAGAGAGAAGCCAGTCCCCACCTCTGCCTCACCCACTGCCTCATTCTCCTGACTCACTTGAGTTGTGCTTGGTGCATCCCTGGGTAGCTGAACCGGTGCTGCTGCTGCTGGCTGAGGATCTGGAGCTGTAGGAAGAGCTGCTGCTGCTGGAGCAGCCGGGCGTAGGCTGAGTCCATGGGCGGCGGGGACTTCTCTGCCTTCTGGTCTGGGGGAATGTACTGGTGATACTTGAGCTTCTTTACTTTTGGCTTGGGGTCCTTGGGTTTCTTGTGGCGGTTCTTACTGTCACCCAAGGACTTGGACTGTGAAGAGGATGAGGAAGTGTCACATGCTTTAGGTGGTGGAGGAGAACGACAGCATCATACTGTGGCGAGGTTTTTTTCTAATGGACATTCTGGAATCCCAGAAATACAGCATAGCAAAGGCAGGGTGCACAAAGAGTAACTGCATTAATGCGTCACATGGGCAAATCTGCAGCAAAAGCATCAGCTTGGAAGGACACCCCCTAGCCTCGGAATCTTAAATCTTCGAAGTTGCTCTTAGAGTTTTTCCTTCCTGGAGTGAGATGAAAGCAACTTTCAATGAGAGCATCCTGCTCACCTAAAATCAACGGATAGCCTTGCGTTCCAATTTGGAGACACTTCTAGGAGAGTTCTTTCCTGTGTATATGTGTAATCACTTTTATGTAATAAACAGACTTTTTAAAGACGTACGAAGAAGTTATCTCTTAAAATGCAGAATGTGGTTCTTTGTTGCTTTATGTTAATAGTGAACGGACTGCCCCCAATGCTCCCCTGAGCTTGCCAGACTCTCTCTGCTCAGGAAAGGACATCTGTTGATATAATGACTCTTTACTTACTATAGGAAGAATTAACTGACCACTGGAACGCTTCCCAGAAGCTAGCTATTATAGGGCATGATTTGGACACAGTAAAGGAAGTCAAGGGTTAAAGGCTTAGAAGGTGAGACAAGTTGTTGAGTGTAGTACAGTTCCTTACATTTACTATATGTCGATCCCATCACCTACATGTTGGGGAAAGTGTTATCTACTTTTTATTGCCGTGATTGACATAAAGACTATAAAAGATCACACTGAAATAATAACAGGTACTCAACCACCAGGATAATGCTATCCATAACTTGCTCCTGAAATCAAAAGGCCTCCATATATTAGGAAGCAATAGGTACATACAATTTTCAGTTAAATAAAATTTTATTTTATTTTGTGTATTTTTTGTCTTTTTGAGACAGGGTTTCACTACGGGATTCAGGCTGGCCTTGAACTCACAATGATCCTCCTATCTCAGCCTCCCTGGTGCTGGGATCTCAGGCATGCGCAACCACTCCCGGCTAAATAAAATGTTAAATCCTGACGTCCTTATAGGAGGTAGTAATGGAGAACATGGGTATCATGACTAAAGATTATAGAGCTGTGAAGAATTTCTGGAGGGACAGTGTGGTACCGGCAACGTCCAGGAGAGGGCGCGCCTGGATAGCCGGTAGGCGGGTTCTGACTCCGCAGCCTCCTTGTTTCAAGCATGAAATACACTTTTGAGTGTGACCTTATCTAAGGAGGCTACAGTCGGCGCTTCTCTGACTCAGCGCACCCCACCGCCGAAGGCTGTTTTGTTTTCTCAAAGAGTCATCTTCCCAGAAACTAATGAATAACGAGTACAAGTATTTCTGCAAGCTGGGTGGCTTTATACTTCCCTCCTTACTAATCGGTATACGGCCCGCTAATGAACCCCCTTCTGCCCTTGGAGCCTCCTGTAGCCCCCTGCCCTGCCTCGCTCAGTGCAGCTGCTGTTCCCGCCTGTCCTAGGGTTAGTCTTGTCTGGGGAGGAGGGGCTGCAGCAGGAGCTGTGCGGCCAAGTCAGGGATCAAGGAGCTGTTTTTTCCTTCCTGTGGCCTTAACTTGGGGACTACGAGCATCCGCAATGCCTGAAATCAGACCACTGTCTTTGACAGTGTGTGGAACTTAGAGTTTCCTTCCCTTTGTAATTCGGGGCATACCAGGGCTGTGTGCACTTGTTTTTCTCTTTGCAGTGGCATGGCTAGTAGATGTAGAGCACGTTTATCTTTCTAAAGATGGGTGGAGGTGAACCCACCACAGAGTTTAAAGAGCTGGGCACCGCTGGGTGAACCGGGTCAGTGTAAGGTAAAAGGAGTTGTGTGGCTGGAAAGTGCATGACTCCCTAAAGCCATGCCGATTCAAACGCATCTCTCTCTCTCTCTCTCTCTCACACACACACACACACACACACACACACACACACACACACACACACGGCTTTCCAAATCACACACTACCCCAGCAGCCTACAATCAACGTGCCGATTCTGTCCTGCAAGACGAAGCCTAAGTTCTGTACACTGCCAAGAAAGGCAGTTCACCAGCCTGCCAAGTCTGTCCTTTCCTGCCTCTTTTCCTGGCAATTGCCTGCCATCTGCGAATTCCTCTGCTGGCCGGCCGTTTGACTTCCCAGGAAGGCCCGAGTCCTAGCTCACTGAGAGCCCTCTGTGACTCACAGGAATACGCCCATCCACACGCCCCAGGTGCTATTCGGAGCCTGCTAGAGAATGGACACACCCGTGTCTGCCCTGAGGAGGGCACAAGCGAGCCTGAGCTCCACCCCCATTCTTTTCCCTGGACCGTTGGCCCTGACCGGGTCGTGGATGTCTGAGGAAGGGCCTCCCTTTTATTGTGGTAAAATACAAGTCACTGTACAGACATCACCTCTGCCTCCTCTGCCTAGTTCCAGAACATTTTCATCACTTCAAAAAGAGCTCTTACCTATAAAGTAGTCACTGTCCACTCCCCTTCCTCTGGACCCTGGCAATCTCTAATGTGTTTTAGGTCTTGATAAATCTGCCTGCTCTGGGTATTTTATTTAAATGGAATCTGACAATATGTGGCCTTCTGTGTCTGGCTTCTTGTGCTCAGCATAATGTTTTCAGGTTTCACTCATGTGGCTGCAGTTATTAATATTCCATTCCCTTTTATGGCCAAATAATATTCAGTTATATGACCGCATCATGTTTTATCTATAATGCACTGGTTGATGGACACCGAGCTGGTTCCAACTTATGACTATTACATGGTGCCCCATGAGTGTTCATGGACAACGTTTTGTTTTAACACTCACTTTCAACTCTTTGCGGATGTATAGCTCGGAATGGAGTTGCTGGCTCAGGGGGTAAATCTTGTTTTATTTTACAGAGGAAGTGTTGAATGGTTTTACTCAGAGCTGCACCATTTTATAATCTTACCAACAGTGTATAAGAATTTTAATTTCTCTGCATCTTCATCAACACTGACTATTTTCCATATCTTTTATGAAAGTCATCTTAATGCAATGAAATGGCGTTTCATTGTGGCTTTAACTTTTATTTCCTTAATGACTGATGTGGAGAAACTTCTGTGTACTAGTTGGGAATTTATACCTCCCAGAAGTGTCTATCACGTCTTTCTCACTTGGAAAAGATACCACTTGGGTTCATTTTAGCCCTGGTAAGCCAACTAGATTGTGGTCTCCTTGAGGTAGGAACCATCCTTTGCTCAACATGAAGAGCACCCTCTGAGACATTGTGGAAGACCTTTCTCTTACACAGACATTTTGCAGTTCCAGAAAAGAGTGATTGCATGCATTTTCTCACTGGTCTCACACAATCTCATCAAGTCAGAGCGGTAGAGATGTCTTATTCTAGCTTGGCTGCCTCCTTCTTAGACAAGCCCTCTAGTATCTTCTTAACCTAAAGTGACTCTTTAACAACAAGGATGCTCAGGCATTGATCAGTCAGGATATATGTATTCTCCTGGGCCAGCGGGGCTGCAGTGCCAATGCCACTCTACCCTTCCCGTGGGCTCCTGTCATACCTTAGCACCCTGAGGTTGACAACTTTGCCAATTCAAATTGTGTGAAGTGTAAATATTCTGATAGAAATGTTAATAACATTTCTCTTACACACAGCATTAGAAATAAAGTGAGTCAACTCTTCCTCCTCCCCCTGCAATACAAAAAAGTCATCAATAGTCCCATGACTTCAAAGCTGCTGAGCCAGCTGAGTGAACTGTAAGCTGAGTTCATACCACTGTGGTTTGTTGGGAGAACTTTATTGGGAAACTGAAATACCTACCATCCATTCAGAACATAAAACTGCTACTTTATCATTGACTCCTACCATAATTTACAGCCTTCTTTTTCCTTTTTAAAGAATCCCCTAAGAGTCAGCACAACCTGCACTAAGTGATTCCACTAGTGCTAAGAAAACATGCTCCCAAATTATGTAGAGTTTATTTAGTATAAAACGTGAAGAAGGCCAAATCACCACCAGACAGACAGTGACTTGAGGAGAGAACTATCTGTAAATTTTAGGTATAATGCTGAGAAAGTGAAACAAGAAATATAATCATTACAGCTATTTGTCTACTGTGAAAAAAACCTCTTTTTCCTTGTGTTTATTTCCTTAGGAAGTCTGGCTGGAAGGACACAGCTTTGACATTATGCAAAGTCTTTGGAACTGTTGTCATTGTATAAAATTTAGTTGCCCTATACCTGTCTTCTGACACTTGTGAGTTCTGTGTGCATTGCAATCAGCCGTGTCTACCTCAAAGGTGAGCTCATGCACTCTCTGAGTCAGGAATGAGCTGGCGGATCTGTGGCCCCAAAGAAACACAACACAGCACGCAGGCCCCCCTGCTGCACGGAAAATGAATGCTGTGCCCCTCGGATTAACAGGGTCTTACTCGCACCCGCCGATGGTCTGTCCATTCTCAGCGCTCACTTTGGGACATCCTGAACCTACACATGGGCTCGTGTGAGTTCTCAGACCTGACTGGGAAAGCTCTGCTTCAAGCTGGGTCTCAGGCCTGGGGCCCAGGCAGGAGTTTGGGCCTGGCCCATCCATACCTTCACGGCAGCATGTACAGGCAGAGAGGCACTGAGCGGGCCGAGGCCCTGCTTCCCTGGGTCTGACTGGTGGCTGGACTGGGAGGCTGAGTCATTCTTGTCATTTTCTGAGCCAGAAGAAAGATCCTGAAATCCAAATTTTAGCATTGTTAGGATATAGGAATGAAACCTGTGGACACAGAGATGCTAAAGTAGAGCACTATACATAGCTTTGACCCCGTATCCCAGCTTCTCATCCATGTAAGCACACAGCAGTCTCCTCTTTCCAGGAGGGTAACACCAAATTTGTCACCCGATTGAGGATACTTTTGATGCAGATAGGGGCATTCTTTTTATTTTATGGTACTGAGAGCTGAGCTGCATCCCTAGCTTCTTTTTATTTTTTTTTATTTTTGAGACAAGATCTTGCTAAACTGCTAAGTTGTCTAGGGTGGCCTTGAACTCAGGAGCCTCCTGTCTCAGCTTCCCAAATAGCTGGGATTATGGGCATACACCACACAACTTTTATTCTTAATGATTCTGAATGGTATTCGACTGGCCTGTTCTGGGACATGTCACCCATAGAAGGGTTTTTCTTGTCTGTGACAAGGTACACCTGCTGGACTTAATGAGACTGACAAAGAAATAGGGAAGAATGGATGTAGGACTTTTAGAAAAAAATGGAATAATAAGCAAAGTGGAGGAAAAACATGTTAGTAATTGGAGGGATAGTGTATATGTGTGTGTGCACATGTGTGTTTATGGATACATGTCTGTGTAGGTGTATTTATATGTGTATATGTATGAATATATACCTGACTGTGTATATATGTATGTATGTGCCTGATTATATATATGCACATTTGTATATGTGGATGTCTGTATGTGTTGGGTATACATGGATGTGTGCATATATGCCCATGTGTGTCTGTGCATATATACACATGTTTTCCTGTGTATATACACATGTTGGCATTTGGCACGTGTGTATGTATAAGAGTAAGTATGATGTTCTAAGAGCATATTTTTGCATGTTTGTGTGTATGTATATGTGCATCATGTATGTTTATAAATATTTACCTTTGTGCACAGATATATATGTCCATGTCTCCATGTATATGTCGATATATGTGTGGATAAATGTATATGTATGTACGAGCAAGTATGAGCACATGTCTGAATATCGGTATGTGTGTGTGCATGCATGCACAAGTAAATACATTTGTATGTGTATGTGTGTGTGTGTTGGCTATATGTGTATGTGTATATTATGTACAGGTGTGTGTGTGTTTTTGTATGTGTGTGTAAGGCCATGTAAACCTTTATAAGTGGGATATTTCTGCCTGTTGAAGACTCCAAAAAAGGAATAATGATCTTCCCTTCTTCTCCCACATTCCTATGCTGTGAGTCTGACACCCAGGGGCAGGGGCTGCTCAGGATCTCCCCCTGGAGTTCGGGACTGAGATTCTCAGCTTTTCTCTGAGCCCCGGAACCTGTCACAAGCCTGTGGGATTCTTTTCTGCCACAATCTCAGTGTCCTCATCTGTCAAACTCAGCTGCAGGGTGAAAGGACATAAAATGATTTTTGCATTTTTCCCAGCATTGTTTGGTGTTTGCTCTCTCCTTCCCTTCTCATAGCATTAAGCAGAAAGGAACTCCTTGTCTCTTTAAACCATATTAAAGTCAGAAGCTGAAGAATTTACTGTCAGAATAATACGTGCAAATGGTCTGATCGACTGTTTGATGTTATCAAAGGGGCTGGCTGCAAAGACCAGCTGCGGCATTCAGTGAAAGGAAGAATGCTTTGATTTTAAACTCTTGCACAATAAATGCCTCTTATGTCTCCCCTTTCCCTCCCAGTCCACATCTCTTTCTTGGCAGCTTTAAGTTTGTTCTGATAAAGTGAAGGTAGGAATAACAATGACCAGTGCCTACCCTGGTTTCGGGAAACGGGGCTCTGGCTAATGAGTGTTGTAATTACCCCAATATCTGTATGGTGTTTTCCAGTGTGTGTGTGTGGGGGGATTAAATATAGCCTGGGCATCCTTAATCCAAAATTCCAAAATCAGAGATGCTCTAATAGCTGAAACTTTTTGAGGCTATGCAAATGATGCCACAAGTATAAAATTCTATACAATGAAACTTTTATATGTATACAATTATCAAAAATATTCTATAAAATTACCTTCAGGCTATGTGTGTAAAGTATATAAGATGTAGATGAATTTTGTGCTTAGACTTGGGTCCCATTCCCAAAGTACTTCACGATGTATATATGCAAATATTCTATAAGTTGAGAAAAATTCCAAATCAGAAACACTTCTGGTCCAAGCATTTTGGAGAAGGACCACTCAGCAGTAAACTCTTCTAAAAAGGAAGGAGATAGTCTGGGGGTCCTCTCAGAGTTGGTACCCGGTAGAAACAGGGCCGGAAGCATTTCCACACTTTGTGTCCACTGTAGTAGATTTCCCATCCGCTCATATAAGGCTGCGTCCTCCACAACATCTTTCAGGGGCCTCATGAATACCTTCCTGCTAAGCTGAGGAGAATCTCACCAAGTCTGTTTGGAGCTCCTGGAGGTGGATTCTCCAGCTATTGCTGTCATTATGCTGTGACCCCACAGATCACATTGTCACTCAGCCTCAGGGAGCTTTAGCCTCTCCTTTGTCAGAATGGACATGGGTGACACTGGCCTGGAGGGGACTGTGGTATCAAATGAGAAGGTTCTTGAAAGTGCTGCCCTCCCTCTGGCCCAGAGCGAGTGTCATGACAGCTGCTATTGGAGTTCATTATAAATCATTGTTCTTTATAAATGTGCTGTAGGAGTATTTTCAGTATGTGTTCCAGTTTACATTCAATATGTGATACAAGTGAACATTTAAATAGACATTGAAGGTTTGTGCATGTGTCCAGAAAGAGGAGGCAGCTCTGCTTGGATGAGCGGTGGCCATTGATTTTGTAGTGGGGTGGTAGTCACACCCCTGGTATGGGCTGGACATCTGCTCTGTACAGTCAGTACTTCCTTTTCCCTATTACCTGAAAACCTTAGAACGACTCCTCAGTGGGGAAAACTGTGGACTTTGAAATCAGTCCTTCAACATGTTGAGCCAGGACATTGGTGGTGAATTAACCAATCTCATGGAGCCTCAGTTACCCCATCCATAACAATGGACATAAAAGGCATCTGCTTGGCAGAGTAGATACTCAAAAGATAAATCAAATGGCATAGTTCTGAGAGTTCTCTTTCTGTGTTTTCTGGAGGTTTTTGTTGTGACACACAGATTCCCTGGCTGAACAGAGGAAGAAAAGACATTAAGCTGATGTGTCATCAAGAGACAGCCCTGCTCTCAGCTTGCATGGAGAAGGAGACAGAAGGGTCACAAGTTTAGTTCAAGTCCAGCTTGGGTAACTTAGTCTGCTTCAAAAGTACAAGAGAAAGAAGGCTGGAGGTGTAGCTCAGCATGAAGGCCCTGGGTTCAATCCCTAGTACAGAAAAAAGAAACAAAAACAGAGGACAGAGAGAGAGAAGAGAGAGAGAGAGAGAGAGAGAGAGAGAGAGAGAGAGAGAGAGAGAGAGAGAGAGAGAGAGAGAGATAACAAATGCCGAGGTTTTTGAGCAAAACCAGCTATAGCAGTGTTAATCTTAAGACAATAAAGATGACAAAGCTGAGAGGTTTTCATACCTGGATTGTTCCCAGAGAGCCTGCCACAGAGGCCTCGCTGGCTTTAGCATCTGGGGGAGACCCCACTGAGCTGTGGGGGTCTTCGCTCCGTGTCTGATCTGGGGAAAGCCCATCGCTGCTGCTGTCCTCTTCAAAGGCAAACGCATCCTCTGACTTGGGGAAACTCACCTGAGTGCCTGGGGAAGTAAAGCCAGAGACCTGCATCAGTGGTTTAGGGGGATGGAAGGGCTGTTTTACAGGCGCCACTATGCGTAATCCTTGGGAGGAGCACACATTTCTCTCCCCAGATTTATTCTAAGTACAGGCAGGAGGGAATATATACTTTAAATTATTAGGTTCCCCACATGAAAACTTGTGTTCAGGAGGGTGCTCTGTTTGGCAGAGAAAAGTGAGTGATATATTGAAGGCTGATCAGCATTTGTGACACGTTATTGTGAGGCACTTGCATTTTCTGCCCATTTTCTAGAGGAACCCACATCTTTTTGAAACCAAATTGGTCAGGTAAAGGAGAGAGAGGGCAAAGCGGATGAGGGTGCACAGACGACAGAGGAAATGACCGTCATCCCCTCAGGTTTGTAGATGATAGACAGAACTGCGATGACAGCATGTCATTTACATCATCTTCAAACATAAAGCAGGACACACAGCACAGAATGTTTAGCTTGGTAATAAGGATAAGCCCAGCCAGCCTCTAAGTTTAAATTCCTAAATGTCAGAACTAGCAAATGTCACTGTAGTGTCCCAAAGAGCCATTCAACAAAAGCCTGTTTATACGAGCTATAAATGTGTCTCAGAAACTTCACACTGATTCTTATTTTTTATTATTTAGATTTTATTCATATTCCTTGTAAGTTTATTTCTGCTTTGCTAGTCCTTAACGGCTCCCGATCAGACTCCTCCTCAATTCCCTGCATAGTCTTTCTAGGGTGGCAGATAATTGTCATGGGGACAGAGGTGATGGGACGGTTGTGACATCCTTATGTGTCCTTTACATTTTGTATTTCCAACTTTCCTCTGCTTTAGTGTCCAGCTGCACAGCACATACTGTGCTGAAGCCACACAGCTCTCCCGATCCGATTCCAAGCACTACTCTTTAGAAGGAATTTAAGTATTATCAGGAAGTTTTCCAGCCCGGCATTCGACAATCATGCTCACAAGGACTTTTGACTCTTTGCTTGGTGCAGATAAGGGAAAGGAGCTCTCACCATGGTGACTGGAAAGTCAACGAGGAGCTGGAAGTAATGGAACAAATGTAGCACTGGGCCTGTCATCGCTGCCACTGCTGGCATCTGTCATGGACCCTCATGCAAACATCCGAGGGGCCAATCAGGAAAGAGGTAGGTGAAGACAGGGCAAATGGAAACACAGTTATTGGTCCCATGGACAGCCCGCTAACCTGGGGGGGCTTGGACACCAGGCTTTGGCTCCACACGTCCTTTAGAAAAGTCATGATTGCTTTGCTATGATTATAAAACTAATTATGCTTGTCATAAACATTCATATTGCACAAAAAGCTTAATGTATATAATACACCTTCTGTTAATGTGTTGTCTCTTCTCGATTTAACTCAATGTGTATAGCAGGACATACATACTCACATTTAAAAAGCATTCCACACAGGAAGTGTGATTCAGGGCATGAACTGTGGGCTTAGCTCAGTGGTAGAGTGTATGTCTGAAGCCCTGGGTTTAATTGCTAGCACCACAAAAAGGAAAGAAAAGAAGAGAAGAAAAGGAGAAGAAAGGAAAAGAAAGGAAAGGACTACTTTTTTTTCATTCTGTCATACTTCTTGAAGATATTTCCACACGAGAACAGAGATCTTCCCCATTTATAAAGAATGCTTGACCAGTATTCCACTGTACTAAAAGGAGCTTAATATTTTCAATTTGTCATTGAATGTTTTTCAACTGTAAAAAAAATCTAAAATAATAGATGAGTATACAGAATAGAAACATCTATTTATACAAAACTTGAAATAAATAAATATTAACACTTTCTCACAATTGTACCTGAAATCTATTCATATGAGAACAAGGAGATTTCATTGGATACTTGACAAATGCTAACATTTTCTTTGAGATAGGGGTCTCTCCCTCTTTTGCACTCTGTTCCTTTTTCATTTCCTAGCTAAATCTAGGCTCTGAAAACAGCCTCTACATGTCATTTTTGTGTAATGTGAATGACTGTATGCAGTATTTTCCTTTTGAAGATCATTTGCCTGAAATTGCCTAGGGAAGGTCCTTCAAATTGCTTCCATAAATATATGTCTATTGTCAACTCAATCCAGAAATCCCTTTACCTTAGAGACTATTTTTTCCTTTATAGTTTAAATCCCTATTTGTTTGTGGGATTAAAGACTTTGCCCCTTAAAAGGTTGGCATGTATGATGGAGGGTCGGGAAGGCAGGGGGTACATGGGTGGGCATTAAGCACCTCACTGAGATCTACTTAGCCTCTGAGCTTAACACCGAATGAGCTAACACTGTTCACAGTTGCAGAGAATCCCATACGAGATCCTGTGAGCCCTTCCAGGCAGCTGGTCTTCTCTGCCCAACAGGATACTGCCTGAGAGCATCGCTGTCTTGTATCCCTTCCCATTTCCTTCCATGTAAGTGGGGCGAGACTTGAATGTGTGGTCTGACACTGCCTTTGAAGGACTGTCACCCAACTCCAGCAACACGTTACATTTCAAATGTGTACAAACTTGGGGAATAAATCAAGTTGCAAATTTGTTCTGTATTCTAACACGTGGGTAGAAATATTCAACAGAAAGGAGAGGGAATGATTTCTCCTCTAATTTCTGGACAACCGTACTTTAATTGTGTTAAGGGAGAGGGAGCAAATGACACAAATAACAGGTGGCCTAGTAGTGGCCTTAAAAACAAAGATAGTCAACTTTTGTAGGACCCAGGAGTAGTTTAGGAAGTTAGAGAAGAAGCAAGTTCTCTCATCTCCGTTTTGTAGACCAGGACAACGGTAAGGTCCATTCTTATCAGGTCCATTCTGTAGGAATTGAACTGAGACTGAATTCTCAGCCATGAGAGGCTCTGAATTTAAAGCCACCCTGCAGAGGGAGGTGACAAAACAGGGACCTCTCTGCCTGCCTTCAGGTGGAGTTACCTGTTGCTATGGAAACACTGGTCAACCTACTTGGTTGATTGGAGCCACGGAGGGCAGGAGAAGCAGAGAGAGTGACCTACATCAGCACACATCATGTGCTCAGGACATCTCTATAATGCCACAAAATCTTTTCCTTGAGTTTTTGGGATTCGAGGGACAGAATGTGAGCGTGTGATGGTAAGAAGCAAAAAAGGCATTTTGTAGGATTGGGGTGGGCTGGGTGAGGAAGAAATTCTCCCACCCAGGGGAGAGAATTATGCAAAGAACCAATCCCTGGAGAGATGTGACCCCAAAGAGTCCACTTTATCAAGTGACGTCAACAATTCAGAGCCACTCCCGGCTTAAATCAATGCAGTAAGGAGGGCGTGAGTATGTACAACCAAAGATAAGGTAGTGTTCTACACCCAGTGCACGAACAAGATGAGCGTCAAGGCCCCAGGGTTGCTTAGGCTGTCCCCCAACATGGGTCTGGATAGACCCTGCTCCTTCTGGGTTAGGAGTGTGTGGATGGGCCTCTGCCAGGGCAGAAAAGGAGGGAAAGGGCAGGGGGCCCACAATAGCACACATCATTCAGGTCCTGTTGATAACAAGAACTGCAATGGTGGCAGAGCCCCTGATGATTGATGTAGTTTTTCAGGATGGTCCATAAAGACTTTCAGACACACCTGGCTTTTCTCCCCTTTGGTTCTACCATGTCAGTGATAGCATGACTGCTGGCAACTTATTTAACCCCTCAGAACCTCAGTTTCCCCATTCATAAAATGGAAATACTAATACTAATACTAGCAACTGCTGCTCAGGGTTTCAAATATAAAATACACGAAGTTTTGAGCCAAGGCCTTGGTGAGTATGTGTTCAATCATTTCTAGCTGCTATTATTTTTGTTTTTGTTTCTGTTAGGAGCATCTGTTGGTCTCAAGTTTAACATTATCAAAAATAAAAAGACCACCCGGGATGCAGTTTATTCTGTGGTCAGCTTTGCAAAGGTCAGCAGGACTCCAGAGTCAGAAAAACTAGTTTGTCTTGAGATGTTCATTCTGGGAAAACAAAGACCAGATTGAGCTTCCCCAAAGTAGCAGGAGTGTGGTTGGAAATATGGCTACATTATTCCCTCTCTTTCCTGGTTCAAGCCAGGCTCAAGAGGAGAGGGACAAAGGTCACCTTATCTGACATCCTCTGGAACAAGCAAGTCTATCACTGGTGTTGTGACCCTGAGCCTCTGCTCCAATCTCTCACAGTGCAGGGCTGGCTGGGAGCAGCTGGAGAGCAGAGTGCTGGATATCGTCCCTGCAGTTGCCGCTGTGATGACGAGGACCTGCTTTGGGAAGCCCTGACTTCATCATCCAGCTATGCCTGCAGGGCTGGCTCTGGGCACTGGCTGGGGGGAATCTTGGGCTGGCGACTCTGAGCTTTCTCCTTCTCCTGCTTGGAAATGATTAGTTGAATGAGTCAATTGCACTTTGCTCTGCAAAAAGTTTAAACTTCCAAGATTCAGGTGAGATAATTGCACCCCGGTTACCTTTCTGCTTGGACCCATACTAGGGGCTGGAAAGTGTGAAGTGGAAGGTGAAACTACACCTCCTTGCTTATCTGCTTCCAAGTTAGCCCAGGGCACAACATGAGAGCTATTTTAAGGTATGGACAGACCACCCTGAGATCCTTTGGAAAGGGACTGGAACAGGTCCCTTTTCTTTCCTGAGAGAGAATGCCAGGCATGTGAAATTAGGTCTATATGTGGCTTTTCCTTAGAAATACCTTAACAGACCTAGCACTCCTCCCAAAGTTGGAACTTCCTGCTCATGTGATGGAAATGCATGTTAGTAGGCATTTGGATGAACAAGGACTTCTTTCTCTCAGATCACTGGCACTTGAGGTATTTGCCGTGAGTTTTTTGACTTAACCCTAAGACTTCCCAAGTCAAGAAAACAGAAGACCAGAGTAAATATTTATTCCACCTCAGCTCTTGAGGTTACATCTCTAGGAGCAAACGATAAGGATCCTTAGCCCTGCCTCTCTTTTTCAGAGGACAGTACTTAGCCCTTCCCAGTTCCTCAGGT